AAAAAAAAAAAGACAAAAAGGAAATAGGGTTGTTGCAGGTGTAATTAGCTCAGTTAGGGTGAGTCATGCTGGAGCAGGTGGTCCCTAGGCCAGTGTGACTGGCGTCCTCATAAAGAGGAGAGATTCAGAGGCAGACAGGCCTGGAGGGAGAACGCCCTATGAAGAGGAAGGCAGAGGTGGGGCGATGCCCCTACAAGCCCAGGAGTGCCCAAGGCCGCCAACAGCCACCAGCAGCCACCAGCAGCCGGACCAGGCTGGGACAGAACGTCCCTCTCAGCCTCGGAGGCACCAGCGGCTTTCATCTGGGACCCCGGCCTCCCCGCTGTGGGGGACAACCTTTCTGTTGTTGAAGCCGCCCACTCTGTGGTCATTTGTTATGGTGGCCTCAGCAAACTAACACATCTATAATAATAAAAGTAACTGAAATCTAAAAATTAAAAAATTAAAATAGAAGAAATGGAGGCTGGGGGGTGGGTGGCACCTGACGGGGGTGGTGCAGGCCCCACGAGCAGGAGCTGCTGCTGCCCAGCACAGGGGCTCCACGTGCCCCGCGGTGCCCCCTGTCCCCGCCCTGGGCTCCTGGCCCCTCTGCTCCCTGCAGCTGGCCCTGAGCTGTGAGACGCACAAGGGGCAAGGGGCCTGGGGGACGCTGGGCCACGTGGTCGCCATGCCCTCGGCCAGCTCCGAGTCTATTATTATAATGAAACGCCCCATCCTCTGGTCCTCGGGCCTGAGGCCGGGCACAGAAACCCGAGCCGATCTGGGCCCAGCAGATCAAAATACCTCCGAGAATAACCCGCCCGCGCCTGCCCTGCCCCGAGCCCGGCCCCGAGCCCGGCCAGCCCCCACTTCCTCTCGAAAGTGCCCAGGAACGGGGTTATCATGTCGCGCAGGCTGGAATTCAATCCAGCGAAACAATCGGAGGAAGTGTGGAGCTTTCCCCACGTGGGGAGCGAAACGGGGTCCCTGCTTATCAAAGTGACAAGATTTATTCAGTTGCTACAAACTTCCAAAGACTTCCTTTCCCAAAAGAAAGGCCGGGAGGAAGGTCATGTCCTTCAGCCACCTCTACCGAGCCAAGAGCACCATCTGCTTCGCTTCAAGCGGCTCAGTCAGGTGACTTCTCCCCCAGCCCTTAGATCAGAGCCACAGCTCTGCCTGCCTGGAAAGGGGTTTGCAGTGTCTCCAAGGGGGACCCGTGGAGGCAGGAACAGCCTGCTCTCAGGCCACGCACAGGCCACGAGCTATGCCCACCCCTGTCTCTGTCACCTACCTGGGAAAGGGGAGGGAGGGGAGAGCCAGGTAGTAGAGAAGAGGGGGGCATGGTGAGGGGCTCCTCCCCCGCCCTTACCTGTTTCCTTGGCGGCCTGAACCCCCTGTATGGACCCCGCAGTCTCCAGCACAACCTCCCACAGCCTCCCTGATGGTTCTCCTGGTCTCTGGGCTCCCTCCTCTCCCTACAGGTCTACAGCAGCCAGATGGGTTTTCTAAACTCTCACCTCATCATGTCATCGACCCACTCCAAACCTTCTCTATGTCTCACCCCCGTAGAGTAGAATTCATCATTTTCCACCAGGTAAATGGGGGTCTCACTCACCTGGGCACAGCTGGGCCCCTATGTCCTGTCCTGGGCCTTGCTCAGGCCATGCCCCCTCCCCTGGGTGCCCCCTTCTCTCCTTTCCCCCAAATGGCCAGACAGAGCCTCTCACCAAATCCTGCTGAGCCTCCCTGCCT